GTATTTTACGTATTCTCTAAAGTTTTAAAGTGATTCCAAAAATATCTGCATATCATTCTATACAAATATTATACATATATAGATCTATATGACTTCAAAGGGAAATTAGTGATGGAAATTATAGGCTTTTGGAAACGTGGAAAATCAATACGTGAAATGCTTAATCGCACATAGTCTACTGTGAATAAAACTATTATAAACTACATAAAGAACTTGATACAATGTTTAAAGAATGTTCAAATTTCCCAAAATGCTGCCAGGCGTGGCAAAATGCCCACTTTTAGGGTTATGTGTAAGCACCAAAAATCATCTTTTCATCAAATTTACAGTAACTTTATTATTTCCGTATATGATGTTTGGGTATAGCGTGACTTCCATTAATAAGGATACTTCAAGGGGAGTGGGATTATACAGACAGTACATCACTGTCAAGAATACTCGGCTCCATTTTGTTTTTTGTTTTTATTCTTTTTTTTGTTTGTAAAACGCTCGTCAAAAGTGAATTTTTAAGATTGGTGAGAACTGCTTCATCCAGTTTTAAAATTATGGCTGCTTGTGGATCTGGAGATAAATCAAATATGATAATGAGTGGTCAACTGTGGTGAGGATGAATTTTGTGCCTTAAACGTGTTTGTGAAATATCTGCACACCTAAATGAACAGTGACCAGATGCCTTATCGGAGTTTGTTTGGCAATCAGCCCAATCTGTTATTCTAGCAAGATCCTGTATGCTAAAGATGAAGTAAGATCCATGCCCGGTTTCTAAGCAGAAATATCAATCTTGGAATGCTTCCATTAAGAACCAAATCTTAACGTTACACAAGCTCTTTTGATTACCTGCAGAGGGTTAAATCGAAATGTTAGATCATAATCATCAAAACAGTGAAAACAAATTGCATTAATCATTTAATTGAGAGCAAGTCTCCTAAAGCAGTGTTTCCCAAACTTGGAGCCGCGGCCCCCTGGGGACCGTGAAGATTTTTCTGGAGGGCCGCCATAAAAATGGGCTGAAAACAAAGATGCGAATTAATTTTAATTCTAAATAAACAATAAGCCGATAAAAATTATGTTCAATTAATTAAATGATACGGTATCTCGAAAGGAAATGTTATTGTTTTTGCTACGGCACTATTTTTCAATCACCATGCTAACTAAAGTAGTGGGGGAACATTATAAAATCACATTTTAATGCATTTTTATAGGTTGTGGGGCCTCAAACTTTTTTTATTCACATCAAGAGAGCCAGGCTAAAAGAGCTTGGGAACCACTGTTCTAGATCATCAGTAGTAGATCAGGCCATGGGCAGTTTTGCATTATACAAGGGCAGAGATCACTATGACTCGTATGACTAAATGCCCAGATACTTTTGTATCAGATAAGGTAGAGCCGAAGTGTTTCATATCCACTTTGTGAATCATGCTTCCCGTATAAAGATTTGTAACAACGTGCATTATGTGAGAAAAGCCAAGTATGGTCGAACCCTAACCAAACACTACCAATGGAGTGTTTATCTTTAGTCTTACCACTACTCTACACTATATTACATAAATGAAATAACGCAACAAAGTCTAATATCGGTCAGCATCAGTTATAACTTACTTCAAATCTTATCCATTCAAACATACTATACATATCCCTATAATAAAAATATGTGTTTAGTGTTTACGTTGTTGATGCTATCTAAAAATGTTACTTAAGCCTCTTGCAAACCGGTTAGGCCATTAGCAGATTTTATTTGCTAGATGGGAAGTGATTTTACGCGCCCAAAGGGAGCCCCCTTCTTCTTTACAGGTGAAGATTTGACAGAAGAGGAGAAAAAAACTGAAAGAAACTTTTTAGCTTCAACCTAGAGTAGAAACTGAGCATGAGTACAAACACAGAAACTTGAATGAACAACAGTCTTGATTGATCGGTTCAATTTCAATAGATTATGATAAGGAATAATCACACAGTGTTGATAACTCTACTTTGGTTATACGGTGGCAACCTTTTTTTACGCCCAGTCCATCTTGCTAAAGAATAGTAGTTGTAGCGGAGCTGTGATTTTTTTATCCTGCTATAATAAAAAACCGTATTTGTTGCAAAGCGCAAAGCTGCAGAATGTGTTATTTATGCTGTATCCACCGTAGTGATCGAAACCTGTATTTTAGCGTTATAATCCCTCAAGCTTATCGCCGGATCAAGAAGGGGAGAGAAAAAACCAATTGAATTAGCCGTTTATAGGACACAATTACGAATGAAAACAGTATGACCAGTAAACAGTGAGATTTAAGATATCCTTCAACTACCTGAAGTACCCGTCCCCTGGAGGGAAGTTATGTAAATTCATGATTAATGAAAGGTTATCTTAGGACATTAAAAGTTGCATCCCTTATATATAACTGTAAAAAACGCCCATAAAAACCGCAAAACGCAAAATGCAAAACTGAAAATTTGCATGTACCCCCGCATGAACCTAATGAATCTCCATACAAATTTTGGTGAAGATCCATCTACACCGTACGAAGTAGTTATATGGACAGACAACAGACAGTACTATTATATTTATATAGATGCTGTTACCATAACATCGGAAAGGCACACACTTCAGTGAATAACGTTATTACTATTACTAGCTGGAGTACCCTTCCCCTTTTCCTTGGAGAGGCACTACTGCACCTAGTCTACATTGAATGGGTGGTGATATAGCGTTGGAAAGGCATTACTGTACCTTGTCTCCATTGAATGGGTGGTGATATAGTGTTTGTTTGTTTGTTTGTTTTGAATTTCGCGTAAAGCTAAACGAGGGTTATCTGCGCTAGCCGTCCCTTATTTAGCAGTGTAAGAATAGAAGGAAGGCAGCTAGTCATTATCACCCACCGCCAACTCTTGGGCTACTCTTTTACCAACAAATAGTGGGATTGACCGTCACATTATAACGCCCCCACGGCTGGAAGGGCGAGCATGTTTGGTGGGACGGGGATTCGAACCCGCGACCCGCCGATTGCGAGGCCATCGCTCTAACCACCTGGCCGTGCTGGGCCAAGATATAGCGTTGTAGAGGTATTGCTGCACCTATTCTACATTTAGTGGATGGTGATATAGCGTTTAGAAAGGCATTACTGCACCTAGTCTACATTTAGTGGACATTGATATAGTGTTTGGAGAGGCATTATTGCACCTAGTCTACATTGAATGGGTAGTGATATAGCGTTGGAGAAGCATTGCTGCGCCTATTCTGCATTGAATGGGTAGTGATATAGCATTGGAGAGGCATTACCGCACCTAGTCTACATTGAATGAATGGTAGCATAGCGTTGGAGAAGCATTACTGCACCTAGTTTACATTGAATGGGTGGTGATATAGCGTTGGAGAGGCATTACTGCACCTATTCTACATTCAGTGAATAGTGTTGTAGCGTTTGAATAGGCATTACTGCGCCTATTCTACATTGAAAGGATGGTGATATGACATTGGAGAAGCATTGTTGCACCTAGTCTACATTTAATGGATAGTGATATAGCATTAGAAAGACATTATTGCACCTAGTCTACATTGAATAGGTGGTGATATAGCGTTGGAGAAGCATTGCTGCACCTAGTCTACATTTAGTGGATAGTGATATAGCGTTTGGAGAGGCATTATTGCACATAGTCTACGTTGAATGGGTGGTAATATAGCGTTGAAAAGGCATTACTTCACCCAGTCTACATTGAATGGGTGGTGATATAGGGTTTGGAGAGGCATTACTACAACTATTCTACATTGAATGGGTGGTGATATAGGGTTTGGGGAGGCATTACTACAACTATTCTACATTGAATGGGTGGTGACATAGCGTTTGGAGAGGCATTATTACACCTAATCTAGATTGAATGGGTGGTAACATGGCGTTGGTGAGGCATTACTGCTTCTGGCCCACAAGACCGTGTGAGAATATGGTAACACATTTAGAGATCAGTAATAAAATGGAAATACTTAGACTATCTCCAATGTAAAAGATATCTCTATTATAGTTCACTAGTTATTACATCTGTTTAGATGACCAAAGTAAGGTGTTTAATGCGAGCACAAATTGGACGCGGATATATATATTTTTTCTTCTAATCAAGCATATGTCCGATTTTAACTTTTCTCCGTGTGTGGTCGTGTTCTACATCATGCGAGATAAAAGTACAATTCTGACGTAGACCGTTAAAATTTCTGCGAACTGATATGACGTCATATGAACATAATCAAATTATTAAGTATTTCTGCCGCTTGTCATAGAGGAGCGGTTTAGTGAAACCCCAAACTCTTGAACTCTGATAAGAGTACCACTAAACTTGAAGGGCTTTTATAACATTAATAACATTAAGTTCTACAAATTCCATAATGTCACGATGAAAACATTTTCCCACTTTTCGTTAGTTAGAGAGTAGCCCAAGAGTTGGCGATGGGTGATGTTGACTAGCTGCATTCTCTCCACTCTACCACTTCTAAATTAAGGAAGATTAGCACAAATAGTTCTCCAGTAGATTTGCTCGAAATTCAACAAAGAAACTACAAAAGCAAAAACGCAGTTCTGAGTTAGTTTTGTTTTAAGTTTTTTTTAATCACCATGGATATGTGTTCTCAGAACTATAAAGAAATGCCAGTTTATTCTGAAAACAAACATCCCAAACATAATTATTTTTGCATGAATAATTTCTTTATTTCCTTCCTTCAAAGATATTTTCCCATCAAGTGGTAGATTTATAGGAATAATTGTCTTTCAGTAACATCAAATTTACCCCCTTTGATTTACCAATTTTACTTGGCTGCATAAACTTACAAATAATTTATAATGAAAACTCCAATTCTTTCCAGTTTAAACTTTAAGAAGAATAAAACTATTTTTTATCAGTATTAATAGTTCGATAAAATGTGTAACATTATAGTATCTTTAAAATGTTCTAATTTTCAGTTTATGTTCAATGCTCGCTATAAATTATAGGTGATAGTTTGTATAAATTATACAGGTAAATAAAACAAAACATACATTCAATATCCAGCTGTGCACCTTGACTGGCCAATGAGATCCCTGTTGTTACGTTGGTAGCAATACATTTAAACTCGCCGGTGTCTTTGTGGCGGTCAACACGGGTGATATGCAAGTTTGATCCCTTTTGAAATCTTCTAGTTCCGTTGGCCACGGGGTTATTGTCGAGGGTCCAGTAAAACACGATGTGTTGAGTGTTGGAGACGTTACAGTGTAGAGTTACAGACTGACCACTGAAGACAGTTCGGCTTTTTGGGTGAGGGTTAAAGTAGAAACTATCTTGACCCAATGTCTTACCGGCCAGCCACACTGCCACTGAAATCATAATATATATATATTAATATAAGGTGTAAATATCGAAATATTACAACACTAATAATTGCTATCATATAATTACAACGACCCATTTCTGGACTGTATTTCTAATCAGAGACGGGTGATAGTAAGAGCTGTAAAAAAACTATGCCATCAGCAAAATACACAGAAATATCCTACACCAGAGGGATACATAATGAGTGGACTTCTTTACCGCTACAAATCTTGATAACATGCAACCATATAAAAAAAGTACAGATCACAGATTAAATTTATGCACATTTTCGGCAATATTGAATAACTAAATAAAAAAGTATCGAGTATTGTATGAAACTGTTTTTTCTTTCTTTATTTTTAAGGTGTAAAGTACCAACAAAGTACGTCATAATTACTGCCCACTTCTGTACTTTATCCCAAATTCCGGTTAGAGTTACAGCTGTACAAAAAAGTAAGTCATCAGCGAAATATAAAGAAATATTCTCCACCAGGGGACTACTGTCTAACAGCCAATAACATTATATTTATTCACCGTTAACGACCAATCTTTTTTACCACTTTTGGAATCTCTACTGGTATAGTCCAGTCCAACCAGAGACCACATTTGAAGAGCAAAATGGCCACTGGATTTGGCAACCACGCTCTAGCATAATTAACGTATAATAAAAGTAACGAGTAAGCACAGTCCATAATATTATATCATCATATTTCAATTTACCTCAATTTTCATATTAACAATAACAAAATATTAATGATGTTTAGTTGAACATATTTCGAAAATTCTGCTCTCAATAAAATAAAGGCAAGGAACTATTATTCATCCAATAAAATCAAATTAGAATTATATTAGGTCGTCAAGAAACTAATGTCGCGTTTTAGAACACTTTAATTAACCACCCCCAAAAAACATACATCACGTATAATAGTTAAACGAACCACCTAAACGTCACGTTAGTGTAGCCTATATAATGTGTAAAGTTTAGTATACTCTAATTTCTTATAGTGATGGCACACGACGAGACACACATTACGCATCTAATGCTTTTTGAATACAAGAAGGGAAACAACTCCTCTGTAGCCACAAAGAATATAAAAGTTTATGGGAATGTTTTGAACGTTTGTAAGTATCAACGATGGTTCAGCAAATTTCGTTAAGGTGACTTTAGCCTCAAAAATTGTTCTGGCAGGGGCCGACATGTTGGAATTGATACTGATGCTCTGAATACGCTTGTTGAGTCTAACCCAAGGCAACACACACGTGAAATGACTCAAATTGCATGTCTCTCATGAAACAACAACAACAACAACAAAAAGCTACATTAATTTCTATTACGTGATCTGGGTGTTTGTGATTTAAAACAAAATCATCAAGTACAAGAGTTATTTACTTTGTTCGCCTGATGAAAACTTTCTGTCTGCATAACTTTCAATGATTTGTTCTTTACATTTTAACTATAAAATTTCGACTCCGTGGCTTGAAAATATTTGATGTTGTTCTTTTAGTTTAACTTTTTGGTTATATAGTTCCAAAAAACATCGCAATCTATATTCATGAAACGCAGTCTAGCGTGACAATACCATAATTTCTTATTTGAAACTTAAGGTAGGCCACGAAAGGAAAGAAGAAAAACGACAGTAATTTATCTCTGTTACTGCCTGACAGTCTATAACATCATATTTGTTCACCGTTAACGTTCAGTCTTTTTACCAATTTTCTAATCCCTTGCTCCACGTTGTTGCTATACGCTGGATTACACATTCTTCACGCTTGTGTAATCAATTAATTTGAATGTAAATGAAACACGATAAAATTCACATATTAAGCACTTGTATAGAGGATCTATCTTGTTTTCTCTTTTGTTTATGAGCCTTGTCAACTAGTACGAGTATTTCAGAGGGCGAGAAATATAAAAATCGAAAGACATGTATGTAATATATATAACTTTTCGTGAGTTGTTTGTTTCAGCGCAAAGCTACACAATGGCCTATATGCGCTCTGTCCACTGCGGAGAATCGAACTCCAGATTTTAGCACTGTAAGTCGGTGAATTTGACGCTAATCGACATGAGGCCCCTTTGGTGGGAAATATTTTAAACAGCCTTATTACATTAATTTTTCTGTTCACATACGACCCCATCCGTTTGAATGTACAATTTTTCAATAAATTATAGGAAAGATGAAAAATAGTTGTACGAGGATACTTGTGGCCACCTCCCCCCTCAAAAAAATCTGAAATACGTTGTACGAGGATACTTGTGGCCACCTCCCCCCTCAAAAAAAATCTGAAATACGTTGTACGAGGATACTTGTGGCCACCTCTCCCCTCAAAAAAATCTGAAATACGCTGTACGAGGATACTTGTGGCCACCTCCACCCCAAAAATCTGAAATACGTTGTACGAGGATACTTGTGGCCACCTCCCCCCCAAAAAAAATCTGAAATACGTTGTACGAGGATACTTGTGGCCACCTCCCCCCAAAAAAAATCTGAAATATTTTGTACGAGTATACTTGTGGCCACCCCCCAAAAAGAATATCTGAAATACGTTCAATATTTTATCCACGTACTGTTAATTTTAATTATATATCATCTGTACGTTTAATTTTCATTTGACTGAAGCGCTGCACGTGATTCGATGGTACAAATTGTTTGATTGAATTCGAAAATTCAATGGAAATGGAGAAACGTCGATTTTATATGGAATAGCTGTGATCGTGACCATCATGATAGAGAAGTGGGATTCACACTAACCTAAAGTTTTCAGTTCAACGTTTTTCTTTTCAAATAAAGCTAACAAATCTCGTAAAACCTATGTTGGTGTTAAGTATGCTTATGGGTTGTACAGGGCACTCCCCTTTTAATCAAAAAAGAATTATTCGAAAAAACATGTAAAAGGCCATTACGTCTTACAAAATAAATTAAGATCATGTTTTATCAATTTGAACAAAGATTGGTTAAAAACAAGAGATCAAGATGCATTTCTTATTTCATTAATTTTGTTGATATAAAACTGTGTGGGATCAATGAACACGCTGATTTATACTAGTGGGCTCGTGTTCATATAAATACAAAGTTTATGGATTGAAAATACTTTACAAAACAATGCTAGAGACCTAGATAGAGTAACAACGTAACAAGTTCAAAATTATTAATAGAAAAAACAACGATATATTGAAAGGGCCTTCAGGCAACTTTAAGTTTTTATGTTTGGAATTTCACGCAAAGCTACATAAGGGCTATCTGCGCTTTAGCAGTGAAAGACTAGGGGGAAGGCAGCTAGTCATCACCACTCACCGCCAACTCTTGAGCTACTCTGTTACCAATGAATAGTGAGATTGACAGTCACATAATAACGCCCCACGGCTGAAAGGGCGAGCATGTTTGGTGGGACGGGGATCCAAACCCGCAGATTGCTACTCGAGTGCCATGCCAGTCCAATTTTTATGTATTATCACACATTAATGATGTACTTTCACATATAAATCCAATATGTTTATAGACGTCCTTATTACAAATTCTTTGATGTAAAATCATATTTGTACAGACCAAAGTATTTTATTATTATTAATTTTCTAATATCACTGAAAAAAAAAAACGTTCAATAGATACAATAGAATTTATGGATAATATATAAATTTGTGCCCACTTTTTAGAAGTGGTATAATATCTCACTAAAATTCGCATTTAAAATCACTTTACGTTAAAGCTAAAATAATGGTAAGCTGATTTCTATCTGAACTTTGATACAGTATAAATATAACAATAATCCACTAAATGTACAGTCGTAGATCGTATTTAATAAGACCTTAGTAACTTCGGGCAATAAAGTTATCAATCTACATTAAAGAATGGACTACAAACTTTGTAAAAAAAAATATGTGAGATTGAACTCTGATCATCAAATAGTTAAGAAGAAAAAATGATCAGGGCTTTAGGGAACTGTTAAGGCTTAGGAAAAATCTTACATAACATCGAACCAGTATATTGCACGTCCCTACAACACTCCATAAAGGTGAATGAAATTCTAAATGTTGAATTTATCCTACGATGCAAATTTATATATATATATATATATATATATATAAATGGGCTTACGGTATCACGTCTGAAACACAATATGCATCAAACCACAAGCTATCTCGGGCGCTGACCCTTTCTTAACACCAGAATTGCAGCATTGTAGCTTTAATTAATTAAATATTTCTGAAATTAATGAACAGCACACCCGTTTACAAATCAGAATATCATTACAACCACATCACACAAAACAGGATACGTGTTATCAGATACAAAATAAAAATATCTCGTTAAATCGTTGCACTAATAGGAATGCATGAATTAAAAAAAACAAGTTCTCAGAGAATAGTGACAGAGGACACAAGTTCCAAAACTGGTTCGAATCCATTCTTATTCAAGACTGGTTCTAGTTGTTATTAATGTTTTTGTTTGTTGTTGTTGTTATATATTACAATTTCGAAAGATCTGAAACTGAGTAGTTAAATATATGCTGATATATCTCCAGTTTATGATATTTGCCAAAAAGATTGATACACACAGATTTCTTTTTTAAAATATGTTTTAATATACAAACAACAATGCAATTTACAATAACAGTTATTACAAATAGTTATTACACACAATGATTTATAAACAAAAATTTTACAAACTTAAAAGTAATATAAAGTCTTCTTTCTAGTCTGGAACTTCTTTGATATCTTATCAAGGGTTCACGATGAGCGAGTTAATTACGAGTTGATGTAGGTACGATTCGCTTAACGGGGAGCTAGCTAGCTTTGTCCTTCATTATTCACCAGCCACACACACCGAGTTTTCCACAGTGAAGTTACCGTATTTTTCGGTGTATAAGACACACCTTTTTACCCCAAAATTTGATGTCAAAATCTGCTTGCGTCCTATACACCAAAGGTATGAATAATATATATGTATATATACGATATACACAAGCCATGTGTAAATATAGTTAAATAGGCATGCATAGTTTA